AAAGGTGTAGACCTCGTACCTCATCCTCGACATATTTGTAAAGATCGGCAAGATCATGTGTAAGGGAATGAATGTCCTCCCCCAAATTATGACCAAGTTCTACAATTATCGACTTGGCAATGAGCATTACCTTAGCATTCTCTTGGATGAGATTGCTAAGTTGATTGTCAAGTCCCCCTATAGTAGTTCTCACTTCCTCCATATTAGATTCCAAGCTAGCAACATGAGGTTCAAGGGACTCACCTGTGGGTGCCCTACTCCTGCTTTGCTTGGATTTGGTATGAGCTTGCTCCTCTTGTACGCGAGCTTGCTCTTGCGCTTCCATGCCAATAACGTTTCCTTCCTCGGTTGCCATTGTGCAATACCTTCCTTCAAGCACAAAGGTTAAAACCGTGCTCTAATACCAATTGTCATGGGGCTAGTCTTTCAACCCATACGACACTTAAACAATCTTCACTGGAAGTTGCTAAGTAAGCCTAACTTGTATGAAAGGAGGATGCTTGGCTAAGTTGAGAAAAGGGAAAGCTTAAGGGCAAAAGATAATTGAAAGAGAGCTTGGAGAATGTGAGAGCATTATTGCTTTGAGAACTCGAGGGTTAGTTACAAATGAGGTGGGGTAAGGTATTTATAGAACTCCTCCTTGGATCTAGAAAGTTCCCACCTCCTTAATGGACGATGGGGATTAAATCAATTCTACGGTTACAATTGATTATCTAGAATTCTCTCCTAGATATTTACAACAAATATCTAGATATTTACATGGAAATATCTAGTGGCAAATATTAAATTATTGAGACTAGAGTTGTGTAGACTTCTCTAGAATGTTCTTGCACTCTCTAGCACTCCTAAGGTTATCTGGGAGCCTTCTGAAGGGTTTTGGAATGTTCTGGAGCTCCTTAACCTCATGAAAAGTCATGAATCGTGACATTAAGCTATCATCTCAAATTGGCTATGCATAACCAAGTTGAGTCTAGAAACGCTCAAGCACTGTGATTTTTCAAGAATTGCTGTTTTTAAAGCCCTCTAGAAGGGTGTTTGATTTAGCAGAGGAGAGTAGACAAATTAGAAGGTAAGAGGGGAATTAACAATAACTTGTTTGATTTGACCAAAAAAAAATAACTTATTTGAGTATATTAAAAAAAAAGAAAAACATACCTTTTTGTCCCTACACTTTACTCATGTTTTGCTATATATTCATGTACCTTTTTTTTGTATTTTGAGTTTCTTATACTTTCATTTTTTTAGTGTTCTAGGTTTCTAAATGAAAAAAATGAACAAAGTGTAGGGACCTAAAATACTAAAAAAAAGTACAGAAACTTATAACAAAATATAAGTAAAGTGCAGGGACTAAAAGGCATGCTTTTCCTAAAAAAAAATCACTTGTTTGATTTGATATGTGAAGAGATAAAGAGATGAAAGTTTATAATAAATGAACAAATTTATTCTTGTTAAATTTAAGTTGTTTTAATGTTTTAAATTTTTTATTCTGATTTATTACTAAACAAGTTGATGTTATAATTTAAGAAAGATACTACTTTTAGCCTCCATACTTTGTTTAAGTTTTGTTATAAATCTCCGCACTTTTTTATTTATTTATATTATAGGTCCTCATAATTTTCTCATTTGCAACGTTAACTCCTTTAGACGTGATATAAACAGTATTAAAATTGCTGACATGTTCACTGATACTATTAAGTTTGTGCTCCCATTAAACTAATGTGGATTTTTAATCAATAAAAAAAACTCATTTAGATGAAATTAAAATCGCTAACTTGGACCTCTTAGACTATTCCGGCATCATTGAATGCTCTTTCTCCACGCCGCCCAACATTTTTTCAGTATTGTGGCTGTGGGATCTCTGGGTCCCTTTTGGTTTTCTTGTGCCCTAAGAAATAAGAGGATCCATGTCAGTGTTTTTAATTTCATCTGATCCAGGCTTTTTTTTTTTTTAACTTCGGTTGATTAAAAATCCACATTGGTGCCAGATTAGCACTTAAGCATAAATTTAATAGTGTTAGTATGTCACAATTTTAATATTATTTGTGTCACGTTAACGTTTCTCTTAAATTATAAGAACAAACATTGAAAAAATATAAGAAACTATAACAATAATAAAAAATTGTAAAGATCTATAATAAAACTCAAATAAAGTGTCAAGATTAAAATTAGCAATTTTCCCTACAATTTATTAGCTCCTCGCTCACATAACTTTTTTTATTAAAATTTTTTCATTTTATTAATACACACACACATATATATATAAATTATAAAATATTTTGATTAAATACCTAAAAAATAATAATAAGCTTTCAAGTATAATTAAAATAATACAGAACCATGCAAAGAAGTCAAAACTTTCTATCATCCAACATGTATATATTGTTTAAAAAAAAAATAGACCCTTCAGATAAAGGTCTATTTCAAGAAGGAAGTATTATCTTAAAAACTTCATTTTCATCATTTAGAATATATAGATAGTTAATAAATTGTGTTATTTTTATTTATTAATTCAAAACCTTAAATAAATTATATAAATAAAATTTAAAAAAAAAATATAAGTGCATCCCTACATATGCAACGTTAACCGTTAGATTAGAAACAAACGGTCGTTGCTTTTCTAAAATAATAATTAAATATGCACATATTCATTCAACGAAACAATAACTCTGTTAGAGTGAAATGGGAGTCGCAGTTCGTGCTAAAGCTAATAATTTAGCTCAAGCTTCGTGAGTTAGCCCAAAAAAATTTTAAAGTTAGGCTTAAAATTTTATACTTCGAATATATTCAAGACACCCAAATAAGTGACTAAATCTGGGCCAAGCCCAATTTAAATGGCTTGACTTGAATGTGTCAAATTTTTTTTATTATTAGATTAAAGTATACTTTTATTCATTTAATTTTACATAAAGTTTTAATTTAATCTTTTATTTTATAAAGTATTTTTTTAATCCTTTAATTCTAAAATTTTTATTTTTAAATGACTATTTTTTGTGTGTCAATTATTGTCATTTTAAACAAAATTAAATTTAATATGTAAACATTTAAAAATATTTTGTTAATATTTAAAAGTTCAATGTAAAAATTTGTTGACATAAAACTAATAGCATTAAGATTAAATGACTAAAAAATTCCTTTATATAGCTAAGGGACTAAAATAAAATATTGTATAAAGTTAAACAACTAAATGTATATTTAACCTTATTATTAATAAAAGGAAATTAACCTTCATTTCAGTTTTCACTTAGCACTCATAAACTGTCTCCTAAAATCTTAATTTGCATATTTTGCACTCTAATAGTTTTAATTTTATTCTAACAAGTAATAACTGTTTGTTTTGAATATTTTTTAAAATATTAAAAAATAAATACAAGATGTTATTGTATACATGTTCATTTTTACTCTTTCAATACTTAATTTCATTTTAATAAGTATAGAAAAACCGAAAAGATGCACTACAATGTTATATTACTTGAAAAGTTTTAATTTTTTAAGATAAAAATTAAAATTGACTAAAATAATAATAAAATAGAATAAAATAATATTTAATAATTTAAGTATTTGAGTGAGCTTGAAACTCTAAGTTATTAAAGTTGGATTTAACTATATAAATTTTTTAATACATTCGAGAATTTTAAGTTTAATTCAAATAAATCTAATTCATTCATATTACTAACTCTATCTCACATATATCAAGCATGTTAAAAGTGTTATTTTCATAGATATTGTGGATCTAAGATCCTTTACCTTAGTTCTCATGCAGTAACCAAAGACTAATCCTACTCAAGACAAATCTTTTTTTGCAAACCAATGCCTTGGATTGGCTATGTATCCATTGGATCTATTGTTTTCCGCAAATCATTTTATCAATTCAGTTCTCTCAGCTTCAGCAAGGTTTCAGGTCTCACTCAATCGGTGGTCAATGACAATGATGACCTTTGGAAGCAAAAGTAGTTCTAAATATTTATTACAACACAATATTATATATTTATATTATTCAACTGGTTCTATATATCTCATTTATTATAGGTCAATAGAAATTCAAACTTTTCTAGCATTCTCTCTTACTTGACTCGTATATCTTCATAAATTTACTTTGACTCGAATTCAATATTTAATTTTGATAGTGAATTAATGAATCCTTGGACATGCATGCATTACTTTTAATTAGGTGTTCCCAAAGAAGTGTTGATATTTGAAATTTCAGATTATTATGAACTATCATTCAATTGTCCATATCAAGTCTCATATATATGTTTTAACGCAAGAACAAATAATTTGGCATCCGTTCATAGTATGGAGTATATAAACTTGTCATTTTCAAAAATATAAAACGGAATTTCTTAAAAAAAACAAAAGGGAAAGTTGATTAATTTTATAATTTATTTTTTATGAAATTAATAAATGATTTTAGGATCGAAATGTCAAAAATAGACTAAAATTTGCTCAAAAATAATCAGATGACGTATCAATATGAAGCTCTCAAAATAAAAGATCATCATAGTTAGGGTGGGGGGGGGGGGAGCCCAAAATTTGCAAAGTTTTGGGGGGAAAATCACGACTATTTTACACAAGATGATGTATGCAATGTCGACAAGATTTTTTTTTTTTTTTAACTTTTAAAGCAGGTGCAACATTATTATTTTTCATCTACAGAATCTCATATGGGGAACAAATTAAAGGTTTTTTTTTAACACCAAGAAAAGTTAATGGTGATTAACATTGTATGAAAATACCTTATAATATGTAGTTTGTTATGGGCGTGTTATTAAATTCTTTAATATAAATTTATTAATTTGCTTTCTTAATCAAAAGTGCTCTAATTTTTTTCATTACAAAATGATTTGTCCAAGTTAATTCTTGGACACATTTTAAGATTGCAGAATTTTTCTAGACTAAATGGTATTCTTTGTCACAAAAAGTATAACATAACAAAACAATATTCTCTAATTTCCATTTAAATTTAAAATTTTAATATAAATTTACATAACTTACAACAAAACTTATCTCATTGTCACTGCATTAAGTGCCTGTATAGCTTCATTAGAGAGTTCTTTCTTTATCAACTCCAACATATTATAGACCTGAACCAGATTGCAATTATAAATATAATCAATAAAAAATCAAAATAAAAAAATTCAAATTGAGAGGGATCAATTAAAATAAATAATAAGAAAATACCTACCATGCTAAATCCAAGTCTAATACGGTTTATTGAAAGGGATCAATTAATTAAAAATCCCATGACTTAAAGATGAACACAAAATAAGGTTTATAACATGTTTGTTACTCTAAACCCTAAATCCAAGTCTATCTGTTATGTCAAGTCCTATGTATCTTTAGAGGGACTTTCAGAAAAATGATTTATTAACTTTTCTGATGTATTGTTGAGAAAACTTGAGTTTTTAATAATCAAAGAATTTGAAGAGCCTTTAAGTTTAAGCTCCTTTTTTCATTTTTATGGATATATTTCTCTTCAAAGAAAACAAATTGTGCATTCTTGATTGTTCCTTTACAAGAGTTTTAGAACTGGATTAGACATTAAATCGGAAAAGTCATCAATTCATAGTTCGTATGGTTCAACCGGTAACATAATAATTAAATAAAAAATTATATATGTATATAACAATATGAATATAAGAAAAAATATGAAAATGTTACATAACTTAAAAATATGAAATTTGGGCTGCCAGGTTCAATTGTTCTGATTCACAGTTTTTAAGCAGTTCATAGTCCAACCACTTTTCATGAGCGGTCCAATCCAGCCCAATAGCTAAAACGGCAAAACGGTTTGAATCGAGCCATTGGAGTGACCGGTTGGTAGACCTTCTGGTCCAATCTAGTTTTGAAATCATTGGGTATGACCAATAAGCATTGGCCTTAGTGAAATGGGCCATGACTGTTTAAGTACGAGGTCTCAAGTTCAAGTTTATGTGAATGCAGAAAACGTCTTTGGAAGAGTTACTCCCAATTGGACCCAACAATACTCAAATCTAACCCAGTTAGATAGTCATATAACAAATAATTGAGAAGAATGACATTTGTCACAAGGCAAATAATCAAGGGCAGGAAGCTTTTGATGTTTCTTATGCAATTTTGCATCACTTGGATCTTGAAGAGTTTTCTATGAGTTTTGGTTGTTTTAAAAAATAGGGTCCATAATATTTTCTCTTGATTTGCCATGTATCACTAAAAAAAAATTAAAAATAAAAACTCACCTCAAAATGTTGCTGCAAAACTGGTGCATGGCGATAAAGAGTAACATATATCTTCTCAAGTAAGGTTAGAAGTACATCCACTTGATCACCAAGAAGATCAACCTTAATTTTAACAAATACTGATACTTAGCTTTGAGCATCAATATATATTATAAGAAAAGTAAAACTCCTGGATTATTGTTACTTTATCTATGGAATCATTTTATACTTTTTTTTTTATTTTGTCTGCAGTATCATTTATTTTTCATAGGTATTCTTCTACTGGAGGCAATCAATCCTATTCCACTCACTTTTATCTGTAGTATTGCTTTTCTTAAGTTTGAAATTAGATTTTGTGCATAAAACACAAGTCGATGCTACTGACCTCGAGTTCAGCTTTTTGGAGATTCTGGCATCTACTAGTGAAGGCTTTCTGGAAAATTGATGCCTTGCTTCTCAAGCAATTAATTGACTCAGCCACTAATTCCAAACAATAGTTCATGTTCTCTAACCTGTGTGGAAATTTTGCAGAATTTTTATATATTAAAGGAAAGCAAGAAGCAGGCATTTAAATACATTGGTGAATGAATGTGTGATACACACAGACACCCACCTCACAGTCTCTATCTCTAGCTTGTGGCTTACCATGCCTTCAAATTCTGTAAATGTATGTGAGAAATTAAATAAAGGCAATAAATCTGACATTAATTTCTCAGCTTCCTGTGTTGCTGTTGTTTGATCAATATTTTTCTCTGAGTTGCATAATCTAAGGCCTAAAGTGGTTCCCAACTCACTTAAAAGTGCCTTGCTTATGCCTAGTTGTTGCAATGCATTCTCTACCTTGTTAGTCAAGGAATAGAAAGTCTGCTCTTCTCCAATTATCAAATCCTCGAAAATTTCATGCTCGTGTAACTCGCCACGTTCCGAGCCCAAGTCAAGTTGCCTGCTATGTTCCTTGATTTCTGATTTTGCACTTAACATCAAGATCTCCTCTGCTTCAAAACAGTTCAGTAAAGACTCTAGCAAAATTTTAATCAACTTCTCTTCACCTTGAACTTCGGTTTTATCTTGAACATGTTGTGACTTGACTTCCAAGGGCAAAATGATGGCCTCTTTCATTATTTCAACCACTATGAACTGATGTAGTTGTTCCTTAATAAGGTTCTCTAAGTAGTAATTCTCTAACTCTGTGTTCCATTCTATGAGCATGCATCTGAGTACAACCATGCATATATCTTCCTTCAGAAGATTTTCTATGCTCGCAAGCTGGAAATGATTGAGAAAATTATCTACTCTATACTCCATCAAAGCACTATAATCTTCTAATGCTATGTTGTATTCTGATATCATTTCTTTGTAGACTAGCTTGCCTATATTCTCACTTATGGTTTTATCTATTTCATCTACTTTAGTAGTCTCCTGAGCTGAACTGATGATATCCTTAGCTGAGTCGGATAATACGTTGAAATATACCTCCTCTCTGATCTGGCTTTCAATTTTATTTCTTTCGATACACTCATTCCAGCCTTTGATTGTTTCTTCTAAGTAGAATTTAAATAAACCCTCCTCTATTTGCTTCTCTATGTCAGAATTGAAGGATTTGTTATGATATTCTTCAACTACACCTTGGTCAAAGAACTTGGTTTCTGATATCTTGTCTTCTCTATTATCTCTGTTTAACACAGCTCCATTATTTTCTTGTTCTTCATTTCTTGCGTTAGAGATTCTCTTCATATTCTCCCATGCACTTTCCAAGGTTCGCTCATTCATTTCTTCATGATCAGATGCATCTCTTCGGTTGAAAAGCGATTCACTTACTGAAGAATTCCATGTAACTAGAACGTCCAACCTGGCGGCAATATTTTGCATCCTGTCTTTTATGCTACTCAGCTCCTTTTCTTCTTTCTTTGTTGGTGAACCTCTCTTTTCTTGTAATCCATACTTACTTATATTCAGTTCTTCGCTCTTTCGGCGAATAACGGATTGATGTTTCTTCGCCATTTTAGCAACAAAGTTTCTTCCATCTTCCAGTAACTTGTCATGACCACTTTGTTCTGATGCAGGTTTTCCCATCATTTCCTCAGAAAAATTTTCTTGGGAAAAAAGGAATGAAGTGTTACTATAATCCTCAGCATGAAACTCATTTTGGCTAAGAAAAAGACCAAGTTCATGCCTTAAGTTTGTGACCTCATTCATCAACTGTGACCAATGGTCCCACCAATTTCTCAGAATTTGCATGCCTTGCATTTTCACTTCTGATTCAATATTCTCTTGGAATTCTCTCATGTAACTTTTCACTAAGATGGACTGTACCTCCTCTTCAGTTGTTAGCTTCCATTGGTGCTCTTTTGGACCCATTTCACCAACGAAAATGACATTCTGAATCTTCTCAAAAGCAACATCTAAAGTCTGCTTCAGTATGTCTATGTCACATCCCATTTCTTCAACCTTCTTGCTGTCAATACCACTATGTGGCACCTCACCTAGTGACATCAATAGGAAGAAGCAATACAAACAACTATCACCAAATTCTTAATCAACTTTAAATAGTAATAGTCAAAAAAAACATAACGAAGACACTATATACACTGGATATGAGCCTATATAACAAAAAGATTAAAAATATATATATATATAGGCCTAAAACTCTTTATTTAAATTAGGGTAAGAGTAATTTGTCCCTTAAACTATATGTTGAGTAGCACCAAAGATATTAAGCTCATTTATTGTGCATTTTGTTCTCTCAACTTCTGAAATTAACAATCCCCTCCCTAACGTTAATTAGCAACAAACATCCGTTACTTTAATGTGGTAGGGCCTACAAGTTTAGTCAAGTCATCTTCTCTCCATCCAATTACAAGCTCTAATTAACATTAGGGGGGAGATTCTACAATTCAAAAGTTGAGGAAATAAAATATATAATAAATAAGTTTAGAGTCTATGATATTACTTGGCCTATAGTTCAAGGAACAAATTACTCTTTTACCTTTAAATTATTATACGACTACAGAATAAAACAAAGAGCAGAATCCCATTTGAAGTCTTTCACATGTGTCCCTAGTATTTGCTTAGCTTTCTCAAACATCTATAATTTAGTTATCTAACTACTCAAACAAATTATTTTGTCTCACACCTACAGGACATTTACCATTAAAATCTTTGTTGTGTGGATATTTGGAAGAGTAAAATGTAATAATAACAACTTGTTATTATAACGTGTTACCTAGCATGTTGACATTTGGTTCAATTGTTTCATTAATATTCAACATTTGTTGATCTGCACAAGTTTTCATCTTCTCAAAAGAAGCACCACCATGGCTATCACTATCATGAATCTTTGATTTTGTGTTTTCAATGTCAATGTTAAGACCTAAAGAAGCCATTTCTTCTTCTTGTAGCTCCATTAATGGCTGCTGTTGAAGCTGCTGCCTCAGCTTGAACTCATTCTCTAATCTCTCTGTCAACTCTCTATCCTTCTGAGAAATGGCCATTTCAGATTCTTCAAGCCGCCGTTGGAGACGGTCTTTGATTTCTCTCAAGTCAGAAAGAACCTCAATCATTAAAACCAATCAAAAATTGACAAAATCATTCAAAAATTAGTAAAATATCAATCAAGAATTAATGAAAACTGATATAAAAAAGCAGCAAGAGTCTACATGTAAAAGTCGTACTTTCAATGTGCAATGCACAGGGTTAAAACAAGTTTCATACTCCCTTGAGACCATAATATAAGGCATCTTCTAAGAGCTTTATTTAGTTCAAAATATAGGGCATCATGTAGTTTTTATAATTTTTTTTCAACTATACCCTTGCTTCATTTATTAGTCTTTTTTGAAAAATGATACATTGGAATTTCAATTGTCATTATTAAGGCACCTATATAGGATATTTAATGAAGGTATAACTAGAAAGATATAACTTTTTTTTTAAGAGATTAAGGTTTTATCTAACTTTTTTTTTAGAACTGTAAAATAGTTATCAATGCCTTATATTGTGGTTCAAAGGAGATATACCATATGCATATGTGGCTAGCTTAGATGATAAGGGCAAGATTAGTTGTTTACAGCAGTTTAATATTCAAACCCTCCTCACATAAAAACACAAAAAACAAGAAGAGGCAAATAGATTTAAAAGCACAACGATATAACAGGAAAGTTTTACTCATATATATTACTCCCTCCATCCCAATTTATCTGTGTTTAAAGTTTTGGCACAAGCATTGATTAAGGAATACAACAAATAAGCTTATGAATGATGTAACTTTGCTCAATTTCTCTTCATAATTCACAGTAGGGAATGTATATGAACTATTAATTGTTTGAGGGTATAACTGGAAAAAATAATTAATTCCTTCTGTAAGGATGGATAAAATGGGACATCGAGAATTCTCTAAAAATGATAGATAAATTGAGATGAAGGGAGTATAATAAGTAAAATATATATATACATGTATATATATTAATTTAGTTTACGATCAATTTGATTCGGATCAGATCAGTAATAAAGTAAAGCAATAATGATGAGAAAGAAGCTGACCTGTTGGTGATTACTATCAAGAATGCTGTTTCTTTCTGTCTCTGCCTTGACAAAACTAAGACAGCCTTCAAGTTGCAACACAGCCAACTCATAGAATTTGGAGATCTCATTCAAACGCTCAATCACTCCCTTTTTGGTCTTCATCTTCTCTTGAGCTTTGTTCATGGCACAATGCACAATCCACATCATTGTGGAATCTGTTAGAGTCACTTCAAATTTTCCATCCATATGACTGAAAATCTCTTCCATGAATCAACAATGTGTAAGAATTTGGGTTAGATTATCAGTAAGAGCCTGCATATGGAGGTAAAAGAAAATGTAGATTTAGATCTATTGCCATGTTTGGTACACATGAATGGCCTAATCTGAATGGTATAGAACTTGCTATTTTTATTAAATGAAGTAAGAAATAATATCCATATTTTTAATTATTAATTTAGGAAAAATGTTTTAAATAATAATAATAATAATAATAATAATAATAAAATTTGGGCAATTTAAATCATACTTAGATTACTTAATACAAGGAAATAAAGCTAAAAGCCGAATCTGAAATGAATGAATGTCATTGTAAATCATTCCAGAGCTTATACTAACTCTTTGATTGTGCAGTTTTTTACTATTTATAATTTAAATAATTAGATAGAGAAATAATCGTATGCGTTTTATCATTTTCTTTTATTATAAAATGAAAAAATTGTATTTAAAATAAATATTATATTGCTTTATTCAAGAATATATTTAACTATTTTTGTGCAATAGGGAAAATATAGCTATTTTGTATAATTCTTCGATGTTCCTGCATTATTTTCACTCTAACAAATTTGCAAATAAAAGTAGTTTTATTTTTTGTTCATATCATATCAATTATAATATATGATTTCCACAATCTATTCTATTTTCTTTTCAATTATCTACAATACTTTTCACTTTACCAAATATGACCTGAATTTTTCCTCGAAAAGTGGATGATGTGTAAATGACCCTTTCACAATTTTACATGGCAAGCATATCCCTATTATTTAGCCATTCTTGAGGACATCTGGAAGTGTATTTTTAAACATTACATTGTATCTCTGTGGCTCATCAAATTCTGCTTTTTTAATTATGTTTTATTTGGTAAACTTTTTTAATGATGTATTGTCAAACGTTTGAACTAGTTTGACAAAACTCAAAAGTAAACACAAGCAGAAAATAAAAAAAAATCATAATTCATCCTAATAAACTAGTGTAATATCAAGATGTGCATTTAAATGGTTAGTATCTTAAAGTTGTAATTCCTCCGATCCTATTTATAGGGCAAAAAGAGAAAAAATTGTTTGTCCTATTTATAAATCATGTTATTAAATTTTCATCATAAATTTTTTATTTTATCCTCTATTGAATGTTGAAGATAGAAAATATATTATTAAAGTATGAATATTTAATAGGGGCAAAATTGATAACTTCTTAAAATTTAAGATAAAGTTAATAAGTTCTAAAATTTTTTTTAATACTAATAAAACATGTTAGAAATATTTTATAAATAAGACCAGAGTAGTAAGTGTTAAGAAATTATTTAGAAGATATCCAAATATAACTGACATAAAACTTATGAAAATTAAGGGCTCGTTTGTTTAGTGTTCTTGTTTTTTATTTTTAAAAATTATTTTGTAATACAATTTTTAAAATTGTTTTTCAAAACAAAATTAAAAAATTATTTAATTTTGTTAATTGGAAAACGTTTTCAATTTTTTTTTTTAAAATCAGCCGATAATGATTACTGATAATTAATAGTAATAATTTATAATAGTTATTGATCAAGGTGATTACAGTTTTCAATAATCAAATATAATACATTAAAAAAACAAGAAAAATAAAATGAAAACAGCTTTCAAATGTTTTTTTTTTTGTAAAAGAACAGCTTTGGAAATAATTAAATTCAAAACATTTATCTAAATAAGTTTTTAATTTTTTTTAAAGAAAAACTTTTTTTAAAATCAGAAACGAAACAGGCCCTAACTTCTTTAGGGCGCAAGATTTATAAATTGATTGCCATCTTTTGCTCCCTTGAACCCACATAATTTTCCAGAATGTCATTCATGTCAAGGAGCCTATAGAAGGTTTACAAATCTAGGGAATGGTCGAGAAAGCTGCATTGTACCTTGATAACAACAACCATATCTATAATTTCATCATTGTCATAAAATCAATTTCAACATTAAAATACAATTTTTGCAGGAAATATAAAAATCAAGAGTGAATCTGCACGACCCATTTGAGATTCACATAAAACTATTTCTGTATGGCCATGCCATAACAATCTAGACCATTATGAGAAGACCAGTAAGTAGCTGTACAGAATCTAATCTAAAATCTAAATGATCTTGTCACCAGAAGCAATGAAGACAGAAGATGCCATGCTAAGATTTTCCTCACTTATCCCCTACACAAGCTGCAAGATGAAAATTTTACATCAGATGACAGAAGGGCCCCAAAATTTATGCATCTGCATATGATTTACTCAAGTCATTGTTCGCAAAACTAGATCAGATCAGCAAGTTTAATCAGCAACTAGACCTTAATCTCATAGGGAATGTTTCCAAAATCAGCCCAGTTAAAAACAGATCAAAAACAGATAAAATTGGTTAAAAGTAAAACTGATGAAAAAGAACATAAAAAATCAGGTTTTTTTTTTTTTTTTTCTTGTGGGTTTTTCTATATAATGTTTTGTATATAAAACTAAAAATACATTAATTTAATTATGATAAATTCAACTACTATCAAACCAATGTGAACTTTTAAGCCATGCCACCACCAATTCGATGAGCAGTTTGATTTTGACTACATTGACTCAAATATTACGAATACTGTTGATGTACATTCAGTGGATGATGCAGCTTCGGTTAAAACCAAGGGCCGATGAAGTTTGTGACTTGAGCGTCTAATACAGTTGGAGGCAACAAGCATATAAGTAATTAGTACAAAACTTAATGTCATACAAAAGATTAAAATGCATTTTACACTCTTTTATTGATAAGGATGGGAACTAGTCTGTCTTACCCAAAAGTTCAACGAAGATTCAAGCTATTGAAGTATGCTTGGAACTAAAAACTTGATAAATCCACAAATACGAAGTTTTTATATCTCAAGCAAAACAAAGGAAAAATAATTCTTAAAAAAATATATGAATACACAACAATACACCTTCATTGTAACATTACACCGTAGAGTGATTATGTTAAGAACAAATTTGTGCTCTGATAAGACCCCATCTCCTGTCACTATCAAGACTCACAAAAAGGAGATATAAAAAGAATAGCAAAGGGCAGAAAAGATGGGACTATGGGTTTAGAAGAAAATACAGTGGGTAACAACCAGATGAGATAGAAAAGAAGGGGGAGTAAAGATAGTGTTTTGGTAGGGGCAATTTACTTTTTGGCTCTTAAATCTGTATGTTCGTGTAGAAGGAAGGTGTGGAGTATTTTTGAATGTTGAGAGGAAAGTTGTGGCCTCTCGAATGCCAGGTTGGGGGTGGAGGAAATCATCTTTCTTCATCATTTTATCTTCTGCTTGTGTGTTCATGAGTGAGTGACTTGTATTTTGTGTTGTTTTTCGGTGGAGTGTGTTTTGTTCTCCTTCTATCTGAACTCTGTAAGTTTTAGTTCCTTATTTTGCTTGTTATCCAACTGTGTTATTCAGCAATAGTAATTTTCAGCCTCCATTTGTACTGTACTTTCTGGTTTATGCTTATTTAAAGCTTATTAGAATAGAGGGTCCTATCATGCTCTTAAATGTCTGTTATCAAATTCGTCAATAATGCAGAACTTTCTTGAACAAGTGATTTTTTTTTTTTTTTAGGAGTCTTGACTGAATAACTCTGCCAATATATTCATAGCTGGCCTCAAGCCTAGATTAAGAAAGAGGATTGTGTTAGGCCATCAATGCCCAACGTCAAACTTCATTGAATTTTTTATGACATGAATCAATTACATAGTTGCGCTCATGCTACATTGTTGCCTAGAAGCAGCACAATGTATGGCACAAGTATAGTGTCAAATAAGCTAGAGCTGCTGCTTCAGCACCTAGATGTAATGTTAAATGAGCAATGGTTCTCACATATTTCTGGATCTAATGCTAGGTCATTGCTTAGAAGCAATGCGCTATCTGGCTCAAGCACAGTGTCAATTGATCTAGAGCAACTGCAACAATGCTTGAATTTAGTGTTAAATAAGAAAGGGTTCTCATATTTTTCTTGTCGGATGCAAGCAAAGAAGTTAGTATGAGAGCAAGATCAAGTTTGGTATGTGGAACATGGGACCAAGACTGGTAAATTGATGGAAGTAGTGGGTGCTATGATGAAGAGAAAAATTAACATTTTGTGCCTTTAGAAGACTAAATGGATTGGAGAAAAGGCTTCTGAACTCACTCTACAGGTTCAAACTTTGGTACACAAGGAAGGTAAATACAGGGAATGGGGTTGTCATTAATGTTGACAAAAAGTGGAAGAAAATGTGGTGGAAATTAAAAGGATTGGAGACAGAATCTTGTCCTTCAGAATGATTGTTGCAAGTGATATACTATTAAACATCATTAGCGCTAAAGCACCTTGAGTAGAAAAAGCACATCTAAAGGAAATGTTTTGGGCAGATTTGGAGGGGTTGGTTCAAGGCATCCTACAAGATGAAAAGATTTTCATTGGCATGGACCTAAATGGCTAATTCAGTAAAGAGGGAGGACAATGGCATTGGTTTGGGGAATTTAGTGAAGAAGGACAATTTATTCTTGATTTCTCTATGAGATAAATCTTAAAATTGTCAACACTTGCTTGAAGAAACAGGAGGAGCATGTAATCACATATAAGAGCGGAACATTAAGGTCACAAATTGACTTCTTTTTGGTAAGGAATCCTAGAATATGTAAAAATTGCAAAGTGATTCTAGGGGATGGTGTGACCGTGCAACATAGGGTCCTAGTTTTTGATGTGCATATTAAGGGCCAAAAATCAAAGTGTAGCCATGTCATAAACCCTAGCTTAAGTTGTGGTAGCTAAAGGGTGAGAAACAAGAGCTTTTCAAGAGGAAACTATTGGAGGAATGTGTTTTGGAGTTCCGAGGAAGTGATAATGAGTTGGTGGGAATGACCAAGAGTGTAAAGGAGGCTGCTAAAGTAATCTTGGGGGAATCAAAAGGTTTCGGACCAAGGAATAAATATGCTATTGCACCAATGCCATTCTGTCTGTAAGATGCAACGCTCTCCATCCAGGATAGAAGATCACCAGATAAATCTCCTTAATCTCTCAAAGGCTTCCAAGAAATGAACCAAAAAAATAAATAGAGGTTGAACATAATCTGCATTATACTTCAACCTTCTAAGTTCTAAAAGCAAGAGAGGAAAAAAGGCCCAACAAAACTTTGTATCTTTAATCTAAGCCAAAATGGGAAGCAGGCAAGGAAATCCATAGGATCAACAGATTTATGTCTAAACAAGTGAGCCAATAACCATTCTGTTTATAACACCACACCAAAAGATTCAAGTATAATAAAAAAGATGCATATATGAGTTGCATTCTCTAAATTAGAGCCATCTGCACTGTTACCAACTTCAGTTTGCAAGATTTTACTTTTGCTGGACTTGAATCACTGACTTCTCAATTACAATATCATATATGCTATGATTGCCAAATGATTCTTATACCCTGGTAAACACTGGGTGACAAACTCATTATAGAGTGTCACAGGTAAACAGAGTGACAGAAGTAAAGCAGAGAAGTAAAGAGAATTGTGTCTCTCCAGATCTCATTAAAGAAGCTTCAGAAAACATATTTGACATAGAATGCATATCGCTAAATCTCGTTATATATATTTTGGTGTACTCATTATAAATTTACAAAGGAATTAATTTATCTAGATTTTATCTTTATTGACAATTTAGATTAGAGCTTTTACAAAGTCACCAATATTTAGTCAGATAGCCATTTGTATCATCTATATACTCCATAACATGCGTTGAGGCTTTGCCACCCAAATTAACCACAAATTTTGTTGAATCATTTATATCTACACCGATCTCTCCTGCTTATCAGGAAGCTACAAGACAAATCATCACGCTATTACCTAACCAAGAAAGAGCAGCTTTCAGGATAACTTGCTGATGCAGAATGGGGAAGGAGAAAGGGGAGAGAATATACAAAAGAGAGAAAGGGATCAATAGAGAGAAGAGAAAACTCAGAGAAAAGGCAAGATAACAGTAATTCTTATTCAATCAAATGTGCATACAAATCAAATGAATTGAGGTGCTATTTATAGGTCTCAACCCAACTCTAAAAATAAATGCATGAAAATTATAGATATTCTAAAATTAAATAAAAAGATAACAATAACTGAAAAGATAATAACAAATGTTGAAAGATAACAATAATTCAAATTAAAACAAAATATACGTAATTAATATGAGAGTAAAATATCTTCAATCTTCAAATCTACAATATCCTTGTAATATCTTCACTTATTTTTCTTTTTAATTTTCTTCCCGTCACTTAGTCTATGATAATGACTCGTAATAATAGTATAAGGTATAATCAGAGCTACTCCTTCTTTGTTAAGTAATCAATGCGGAGACTACGTGCCAAGTATCATATTGCCAAGGCAAGATTGAACATTTTAATCATATACAATCTGAACTTCCCCTCAAGGCTTAGTAGAAATTGACACTAAGAAACCCAGACAAAGATTTCCACAAATTACACTCAAAAAAAGATCCACTTGTCATGCAATTCAGAGAACCCAAATAAACGAAGCACAAATTTCATCAGAAGGGTCAGGTTAGGTACCTCCGCAGCAGAAGCAACAATAGCAGCAAGAGAGAATTATGCCTAAGTCATGGCAAAACGCAAGAATCCCACCATCAGGCTTCGAATTGGAAACGTCAGCTTTGTCAGAATCGCGAGCATTCTGCTCGTCCAACAAATTCTGATTAATTGAAGACTGTTGAAGCTTCTGTTGTTGCTTCTCCCGTTTCATTCGCTGGAGGTTCCATTCGAGCTTGTTCAAGTAAGTAAACTTGAACGAGTCTCTGATACTAGATGACGGCCATATATGCATCTCTCTCGAACTTCCACACACAGTCACACAGATATAGAACGAAAGTGAACTGGGGATTGGAACTTGCCGTGATCAAGGAAACGAAGAAAGCATCGTACAGGAAGTTAGTTTCATTGGGTTGAGGGGAAGGTGAGTGCTCCCAGCCTACCACGCTATCCTGGGATATTTTTGCAAAAAATAATCGTTCTTTTCTTTTCTTTTCTTTTCTTTTGTTTTGTTTTTCTTTTTTTTTTTTTTTGTTTTGTTTTCGAATCGTTCATCTATCATCCTTGCAGTTTTACCTATTTTTAATCTAGTCCATGTTATTTTATTATTGATATTTGTACTTTGCTTTTTAATACGTCAAGTCCCTGTATTTTTTTTATCTACAATATTAATCCTTTTATTTTTAACTATATTCAGAGGAATGACAACACAAACAATGTTAAATTATCTAATATATAACTAATGGTGTTAAATTTTATGATAAATGCTAAAAAAAAGAAAGAGACAAAGCAATATACGGTAACAAAAAGCGACAGGAAGAAATTAAAAACCATACTCAATTTGACGAAGACAAAATAAATCTCAACATTAACATTAACATTAACAAAAAAAAACATTGGTTTTAAAATCAAGAAAAAAATAAAACAAAATATCTTGGTACTGCGAATGAAACCAAAGCAAAAGCAAAGAGGAAAGTTCAAAGTTTGTAAAAACAAATAAAGTAAAATTGAACCTTAGTTTGATGAGCAATAAAATGATATTAATTACATGTTAGATAATTTAATATTATTAGTGTTATATCATCACCACTATGATATTTTAAAAAATAGAGTAACTAACATTATAAAAGAGAAAAACTATAAGAACTTTGAGCAATAAAAAAAATTAAAACAAATATTAAAATATACTAAAATTATAGAAATTGATAATTGCATTTTTCTTATAAATTTTTTCACAGGGTCCTTTTTTAGCTACCTTTGTAATATCATCTTTTTTTGGAAAAGTCCTTTCAAATTATTTTGTGGGCTTAAGAATAGGATAAGATCGCATTTAATATAGCTTAAGGCAGTTTGGAGCTTAGGAAAAAACAATCATAAAATCTTTATTTTTAGGACTTAATTAATATTAGGTGTCTGTTTGGATGCAAAAGTTAACCGATTATACTGGACAAAACCATGGTTTAGGGGGGGAAAAAAACCTAAACACCCTCATTTACTTATAATCAATTGTAAGGGTTGTAACTACGTTCTAAAATAAGCTCCCCGGGATAGCTTTTCCATATCAATTATACAACAACAACAACAACAACAACAAGCCTTTATCCCACTAGGTGGGGTCGGCTACATGGATTGCAAGACGTCATTGTGCTCTATCATTTATTAAGCTTTTAGAAATATTATTAATTAAGAGATCACGTTCAACAACTTCCAAGAATGTTCTCTTAGGCCTTCCTCTACCTCTCTTAATCGGACTCAAAGTTATATGTTCCACTCTTCTCATTGGTGCCTCCCTTGGTCTTCTTTGTACATGCCCAAACTATCTCAACCGATTTTCTACCATTTTTTCCTCAATAGGTGCCACCCTCACTTTTTCACGTATGTGCTCATTTCGAATTTTATCTTTACGTGTATGTCCGCACATCCATCGTAACATTCTCATCTCTGCTACTCCAACTTTATGCTCTTGCTGTCCCGTTAGAGCCCAGCATTCACTACTATATAACATTGCAATAAAACTTTTCTTTTGTACAAGACGGATTCGAACTGAGAACCTGAAGAGTTAATTGACAGCACAACTACCACTAGATCAACAATCCTTCTTCTTTTCCATATCAATTATATTGTTACAATATTTATTACCTGTCAAAAGTTTTCATCCGCCGATATTACCCCCTTAATTCAAAAAAAAATCATAAAATCTTAATTTTTAGGACTTAATTAACATTAGGTGCTTGTTTGGATACAAAACTTAATTGATTATGCTGGACAAAACCATGGTTTAGAAAAAATTACCTAAACACATTCATTTACTTATAATCAATTATGACGGCTATAACCACATTTTGAAATAAGCTCCCCGGGATTGCTTCTCCATATTAATTGTTCTGTTACAAAATTTACTACAGTTTTTATCTGCCAATATTACCCCCTTAATTCAAAACACATACCCTCCCCATCAATAGTTGGTTTATCTCTTTGTGAAATAAGCTGCCTCGGTTATCTATTGAGTTATTTTTTATGTAAATTAAATTATTAATATTAATATAATTTAAATTTCTATATATCATCTATAAGTTAAATAATATATGTTACTTTTTAAATAAATTTTAACAAATTTAATGATACTATATACTCCTTCTGTTCTAAAAATGTAAGGTATTTTTTAAAAAAATTAAATATTTAAAAATATAAGATATTTTTAATGAGATGTAACGTATCATTATTTTTTTTTCAAAAGCACCCCTATTAAATAGATCATTTTATATTTTTTTAGAGTATAAAATAGGGGTAAATATAAAAAAATAAAATTAATTTAAAAATAAGTAACTATTTTATTGGGAGTAAAATTCAGTAAAAATGCTTTATATTTTTTAAGAGATGGAGCACAACTTTATCAATATTTTAATTTTAAAAAGTAATGTCCTTTATGATAATTTGTATATCTAAAATTGATAATGACTAAATCATTTAAATATCTTTAATTTTTTTAAAATTAATTTAAAAAATAATATTCAAATAGATTGTGTCATAACATAATTAATTATAATTAAAATCAATTATCTTTATTAATTTTTTTATAATCAATTATACTTAACTAAAATTCAAACGGACCATTAAAAAAATTATATCTTGATAATTTGATTTTATTATCTAATTATTTGAGTAAGGAGAATTTACTCAAAATGAAATAAATTTTGAGGATTAAATCACAAGACATATTTTTGGGGAATAATTTATAAGATTGAATAGAATTAAATAAATAGGATCTTAAATTTTTATTTATTTAATAAATTATATTTATTTGAACATTATTTAAATTAAATTGAATCAAAATATAGTTAAGATTTATTTTTTTATTTTTTAAAAATGAACTTGATTGATAGTAAATGAAGTATACATGAGGTTCTAAATTGTAAAATATAAAAAAAAAATAAAACAAAACAAAACAAAACAAAATAAAGAAATAAGATTTTAAACCAACGGCGGGCACGTGGCTCACTTTGGGTTAGGGTAAGGCTATTATTCATTTATCCGAATGTTCCATTCCCTAGCGGCAGCGATTGTGAGGCAGCGAGAGAAGAAAAAGCGAGCGTGGCAGGTTTGGAGAAATTTTGGAGAGCCCGTTGTCAGATGTTTCTAGACTAAATTGAGAATTTTTAAAATTGAATAAGTATTCTAAAATTTTTATTCTAACTAATATTACTAATTTTAGATTTAGGTGGATTTAAAAATTGGACAGAGATGTTGAGTGGTAATTCTATGACTGTTTTGGGATAATAGAAAATAACTAAAAACAAACTCTAGATGACTTTGAGTAATTTTAAAAGCCGTAGAGATTATTTTTAAACCTCTCTGAAGTAATTTATAAATTAAAGATGAAAATTTTACTTATTGAATGTTTAGGACCTATAAAACATGATCAAAAAAAATTAAAAATTAAAAATTAATGACTAAAATGATTTAGAATTGTTTTGGGAAATCTTTGAGAAGCTCTAAGATTAGAAATATATAAAATAAAATGAGTAAAGTTTAACTAGAGTAGTTCTAAAATTAAATATAGCTTCCGTGAATATTTTAGAGTAATTAGAGAGTAATAAATAATTACATATAAATTTTATGTGATTATAATTCTTTAAATTATTATTTGTGGATGTATTAGGGGTTTCCTAGGGGATTTCTTAATTTTGCTTTGATTTTTTGAGTTAGTTGGAGGATCTCGTACAAAGAGATCTCAGGTTCTTTAAGTAAACTCGAGCCCAAATAACTTTTAAGTTATTTTGTGTACATGTGTTGGTAGGTAGCTATAAATTTTATAATACTTATATGGAATTGAATCTAATAAAGCATGTCTATTATAATGTTTATGCAAAAATTCGGTATAGTGAATGGTAAAAAAATTGAGAATTTATGTTGCATAGTGAAACACTTAGAAGTGTTGTATTTCTTATATGAAAATTTAGAATTGGAAGGATATTGATTGATTGTATAATTTAACTGTGATGATGGTGTAGATGCGATGTATGGTGTAAAATTTGATTCTAATATGAGAACTCAAATATAACTACTCTAGATGATGGTTCATAGTCATTAAACATTATTGAATAATTATGTGATAAACAAAGTTGTGATTAACTTTGAAATATATTGGAATTGTTCTGTTCATAAGGTGGCTACGGTTTATAGGATAAAATAGAAGAAATAAGGTAGGATCGTGATCATGCATATGCCCCCGTGTGGCATGCACTGAGTGGCCTTATTGTATGCCTAAGCTACCCAGTTCCTTTAACTGGGGTTAGGATAAGCTTGATACCTTTTTGGAAACCCCTTTTAGTCTAAGGGGGAAGCTAAGGCTTCATATGGAATAATGGAACTTTTGGCCAGACACCAACTCCTTTCACCTTGAGCTTTAACCTGAGAGAATAAGAAGGAGATAAGGAGGAACTTAATATGAAATAAAAATGGAATTTTAATCTATTAATATTGTCCCTCAAATAGTTTATACTTTTTAACTATAATATTAGTTTGACATCATTGATATTCTTTGGATAGTGTACACTTGAATTACTTGATAAGATTGATAGATTTTTATGTCTTTTATATAAATTATTGTATTATATGAATGTAACTTTTCTAACATGCTTGTGCTACCTGTGGGATAGTTAGATATTAGGTAAAACATTTTCAAGCATGCTAGTTAGTAGGGATTGTTGCATTGAATTTAAATATACTTAGAATTTCTTTATGATGACTATTTGTGTAAAGTGAAATGTTTGTGAAAGCCCACTGGATTAGGTCGTCTACCAATTGTGGATACACCATAACTTTTAAAAGGTTACTAAGACATTGTCTCATGTCTTTCTTAATTGCCACAGGAACCAATAGCGAACCTTAAGGAAAGGAGCGAATTCAGGGATTGCCAACTTCATGAGAAGTATGGCCTTGGAGAAAGAAGCCTACTGCC